AACCTTTACTCACATTCGAGAAAACACTCCCAATAAGATTGCTTGCTCCAAAATCGAAGAGGCACCGTCCTCCGAATCTCGAGAGCCAGACTCCCAACATGACTACTTTCTCAAAATCGAAGAGAGGGTAAAGGAACAGTACCATTGCTGGATAATTGGAAAGTCCCTGTGTGTCAACCTTTGTGCTTCGTGGCAAGGTAGACTAGCAAACATGCCCAACCTTTACTCACATTCGAGACAACACTCCCAACAAGATTGCTTGCTCCAAAATCGAAGAGGCATCACCCTCCGAATCTCGAGAGCCAGACTCCCAACATGTTACTTCCTCAAAAATCGAAGAGACACTGCTCTCCGAATCTCGAGAGTCATACCCCCAGCATGATTGCTTTTCTCAAAAATCGAAGAGGCATCGTTCTCCGAATCTCGAGAGAGCCAGATACCACAGACCACTTTTTCAAAGTGCTCTGACAGAGTTAAAACATGTGAAACTGGTAGCTCCCACTACCGTGCTATGACCAAGCAGGGTAAAGGAATAGCATTACTACTTGTTGTTAGGGAGACTGAGACTCCTATATATGTCGACCTCCATCCCCAACGGACAGGCAGACCTGCAAAAATGCTCAACCCTTCATCATATCTGAGAGGGCACTCCCAACGAAGCCTTTCGAAATATTCAGCTTTCTTTCCCCCCGATAATACCTCTGCAAACAAGCTATACTAGAGCAAGAATATCTCATATCATCAGGGTTAAAAGCAAGAGTATCCCATATCATGCTTTTTCCCTGTCTTTTCTTTTGGCCTTGTTTTTACCTGCAAGACAAAGAGAAAGAGAGCAATCAGTCAGCACTTGGAATCAAGCTTCCAGCCAGGAACTGACTGCCTGGAACCCCTTACCTGATTACTTACCTGGCATTGCTCTCGAGTACTCATCTTCAACATCTTATGTTTCCAGGGAAGATTCCGCATCTGCTTGAGGAACAGATAGGGCAAGTGCGAAGGATACAAGGAAGCATGTGGAGACAAGCGTAACAGCACACGTGCCGATACATTCATTACTCTGTCAAAAGCAAAAGTATCCCATATCAGCAGGGTGGAACGTACTCTAGATTTGATGGACTTGTTTTGACCCTCAAATTCTTCAGTCGGCCTTATACTCTGGAGGAAACCAGAAAACCCTCCAGCTCAGTTCAAGAATAAGCCTGTGGAAAGTTACTTCTTCAAAAGCAAAAGTATCTCATATCATCTCTTCTCAATTTTCTTCTCTTTATCCTTCATGCTGCTGCAAGATGGGGAGAAGGTGAACAATCAGTCGGAGCTCTGATTGCTTACCTTGTCTGTCACCTCTTTCAGCAGACCCCCTAGCTCGGCGACTTGGGGGACTCCTACTACATGGTTTGTATCGCGCGCTTGACCAAGCCTGAAACTACAAGTAAGCTTCAAGTGAAATTGATACATTACCTTGTGCATCTCCACCAGTTAAAGATACCACCCCTGGATGGAGGAAGAGTACTTCCAGAGAAAAGATGCCACATCTACCTATGAGACAGATAAGGCAAGTCAAGACGACACCACACTCCGATACTTAGAAGTTTCGTGATTACGAGATCATTCTCCCACAATATTTCCTAAGGTCATTTGTACTAAATCATTCACTTGTACTCACTAAATGAGAGCTTGAACCTATGTACTTGTGTAAACCCTTCACAATTAATGAGAACTCTTCTATTCCGTGGACGTAGCCAATCTGGGTGAACCACGTACATCTTGTGTTTGCTTTCCTATCTCTATCCATTTATATACTTATCCACACTAATGACCGGAGCAATCTAGCGAAGATCACAAAAAGCGATCGTTTTCGCTACCTAGGATCTATCTTGCAAGAGAACGGAGAATTAGATGGAGATCTCAACCATAGAATACGAGCTGGATGGAAAGAGTGCATCCGGCGTGTTGTGTGACCGTCGTAGGCCACTGAAGCTCAAGGGAAAATTTTATAGGACGGCAATAAGGCTAGCGATGTTGTATGGCACAGAATGTTGGGTGGTGAAGCATCAACACGTACACAAAATGGGTGTAGCGGAGATGAGGATGCTTCGTGGGATGTGTGGGCACACGAGAAAGGATAAGATTGGGAATGAGGATATCCGAGGTAAAGTAGGAGTAGCCGAAATTGTAGGAAAGATGAGAGAAAATCGGCTCCGGTGATTTTGAACATGTGCAAAGAAGGCCGACTGACGCTCCGGTTCGAAGATGTGACTACGGGACAGAGGTTCAGGGCCGAAGGGGTAGAGGAAGACCTATGACAACTTTGGAAGAGACTCTAAGAAAAGACTTAGAGTACTTGGATCTAACGGAGGACATGACACAAAACCGAGCGCAATGGCGTTCTAGGATTCATATAGCCGACCCCACTTAGTGGGAAAAGGCTTTGTTGTTGTTGTTTCTACACTCTACTTGTTTCTTCAATTATATTGCTGCTGATTTTCTGTTCTCCCCATTTTACAGGGGATCTTTATTGGCTGAGTTTCTCACTAATGGAGACCCGAACGGAGATCTCAAGAGAACTGTGAAGGAGTTGCAGGCATATGACCCAAAAGGCATTGAAACGTGTAGGACATTGGCGAGTCGTTACTCTAAGCAACTGTTCGAGATCTACAAGAACAAAGAGGATCCTCTCTTTCTACCATTTTGATGGGAGATATTACTAGTCCAGATCCTCTGCCAGAAGTACTTCCAGGGTTTCCAAATGCTTGTAAACATCTTTGTCCTTTTGGTTTCAATTTATCATGGTTGTATTTGTATATAACATCTAATTAGGAACATCTGAAAGATTAGGTCACTTATGTTTTTAACGTCGGATGTTTTGTGTCCACGTCTGCATTTACCTAAATCAATTCAGAAATGTAATTGTCTCTCGAGGGATTCATCCGTTGGGCAGCTCTCTCGCATAAGGACTTGCATGAAAGGGGGACGCAAATGCGGCGATGTCCAACTTGTCTACATGGCCTTGTATGATTTGTTCGACAAATCAATACCTCCACGTTTCATCTAAATCTCACCCCCCCCCCTTGCACGAGAATTTGCACGAAGAGGCAGCGTGAAGGTGGCGATGTCCCAAACCTAGCATTCGTCATCATGTGTTTAACTTTGATCTTTTCATGTATAATCGGTTTGAAACACTGACACTTCGAATTTTTTGTTTCATGTAAATTTCTCCTCTTACCAAGTTGAGACCAAAATACAAAAAATCTCATGATCTATAAAATTTTGGTCCGCCACATTAGCATCGGATCCTCGTTGTGAGGATCCCGATGATCCTTCAATTACGTTCGTTCATCGTATATCGTGCAGTAAAAAATCATTATAAATATTTTATTTAAAATTGAATATAAACAGTACCTGATGAAAATTGGCCGCACAATATACAATGAACGGACGTGATTGAAGGATTTCTGAGATCATAGGAGAGGATCCTCATTAACCTTTTCCCCTTTGTTTGTGTGCACCTGCGTCACAACATGCTTGTCACAAAAAACCTCGTGTGAGATGGGCGGCTGCCACGTAGCAGACAAGCCCTTGGAAATATGGAAAACGAGATTGTAGTTGGTGACCAGATGTAACTACTCCAACAACTCATTAGATCTTGCTCCTTGCCTTTATTTTAAAAAATAAAAAATAAAAATCAATCAGTGGTTTTACTACGACAATTTATTCCTTTATGGTTGAAAAGACTAACGTTCATTTCAGCTTTTTTATGTCGATCATCGTATTATTCACTAACGTCATAAATCGAATTCAAGATATACCGTGTAATATGAACTTCAAATTTGCCCCTAACTACTCGACCACTTCGTGATAACTTTGCTCCTTGCCTTAGTCACTAATAAATTTTCCAAGAAAATGAACCGTTATGAATATTAAATTAGGGTTCCACCATTGGCCCTTCTCCTTATAAAAGGCCACCTATTATGTATGTCATAATCCCGTACGATATGGAGTCATCAGTTACTAGTTTTCAAGTGGGCAGAAGAGGAAGAGCAGAGCAAAAGGCGGAGAAATCTGGTGTGTTCTTTAAAATGCCATTGCACTATCCAACGTATTCCAAATCCGACTACGAAACCATGCCGGAAGGGAAGCTCGACCGCCTTCTGTCGGAATACGGTCTTCCGGTTGTCGGAAGTGTGGAGAAGAAGAGGAAGTTTGCCATGGGAGCTATCCTTTGGCCTCGTTAAGTTAGTAGGTAGCTAGTTCTTGCCAGCTTCCACAGCATTAATAAAATTAAGGGTCTAGCAAGCTAGCTAAACTTGTCTCTTTTGTTTTCTCTGTCTTGTGAGACTTGAAACATGTATCTAGTTAAGCTAGCTGATGATCTCTGATAATGTAGTGTGTTTTATATATGCTTCTGCTGGTTACTGGCTATCTCTCGACCTATTCGGCTACTCTGCAATGCTTAATTTGATTGCTTTCATCTCCAACACGATGTTCATGATTTTTCAGTGCTCATCTTTCAGGATACAATAAGCTTCTGCTCTTGTGACAGTAGCACTCCAAACTACAAGAACCTACATCGTTTCTAATACATCCGTTTTATAGGGTAGCAAATAAAGGGCAGGAGAAGTGTGAGGTTATTATGTACTAATTGGTGAGACTAAAATAACCAAAATACGAGTATCGCTTACGACTGATCATATAATACATATGTTCGAATCCAAGAGTTTCTCATTCGAATGGCAAGTACTCTAGCAAAAACATTATTAGAAATCAATATAGCTGGGCAAACGTAATACAGTCTGTCTCAAAATTATCAAACGCCAAATCTGAACACACAATCAATCACGTTTTAAATTTAGCAAGATTATTAAGGAAAAATGGAAATGAAGGGTAGCATGGGTAGGTGGGTCCCTACAGATGCGGGTAGGCCCCACACTTCGCCATGCATGCACAATATTTGGCTATAAAAGCAGAACGTTGTTGATCCAGAATCTTCCTACCCTTGGGCCTCCTTTTAAGCCATTTGATTAGTCTCTTAATTTATTTGTTAATCGTGATTAGCTATTCTCTCTCCCTCTCTCTCTCTCTCTGTAGGTTAACGTTATTGTTGATCTCTTCTTGTTTGCAGGAGGTGATCTTCAAACGTTAAACAAAGAGAAGAGGAAAGGGAGAAAAAATGGCGGCCATGAACTCATCATCTTTTGGTGTGGTTGCAATTATTGCCACCTTTTACGCTATCGTTCTGCCCGTGGCTCGTGCGACCAGCTTGGCTCCTGCACCGGCACCGGCACCGGCACCGACATCGGTTTCGGCATTAACAAGCGATGGTAACCTCTCTTACATTTCTCTCTTCGCATTGGTAACGATGACATGTTTGTGTTATGTTTAATTTATTTTTAGTTTTTTTCATTGATCCCATTTTTAACAAAAGCTTTTTGGATTGCTTTTTGGTATCTAAAAGCCTTTTTGGAACTTTCAAATAACCAAAAACGCTCTGATAATGTTCAACATAAATTACTAAGGACATGCCTTGGGTGTGATTTTAAAAAGTTAATAGCACCTTTAGTTATCGAAAGTGCTTTTAACAATGTTCGACGTAAAACGTTAAAAGTATTTTTAAATCAGTAAGCTCTCATATGGTTTCGGGGCTAACATATAGAAAGCAATTGCTATGTACTTCGTTTAGGATTACCTTTTTATTAAAACTTTGGATCTGTTTTTAATAAAAGCGTAAATGCTTATGAGCATAAATACTTTTTAAATAAACATTTTCAAACGTTACATCTTTAATTCTATGAGTATTCTCTGGTGTTGTTTAGGTAAGCACTTATAACTAATGAATTTTATTGTTAATTACTTTATTTTTGTATTGTGCAATTTGCAGGGACAACAATAGACCAAGGGATAGCATACGCTCTAATGCTGCTGGCATTAGTGCTCACATATCTCATCCACTAAATTGTACCGTCCGATGATCGATGATGATAGAGATGGAGGGAAACGGACGGTGCAAGATCAAGCAAGGATAATGTAAAATCAATTTGCAAATTGGACAAGAGTACATTTATTTGAGGACTTTGTTGAATATTCTTCCATGTATATTGGTTCTCCAACGTTAAATTTCATTAATTAGTATATTAATTTGTAAATTTCTTGTTTTTCTTCGGTTTAATATGACCAAAAGAAAATACTGGATGTAGCCATATTGGTTAAAACGAATGTGCTCTCCACATACACCTAAATGACAAATCTTTCTTCCAGCACTTGGTGTTTAAAGTAAAAAATCGGTTTTTTTTTATTAACACCCCACATAATGTTGAATGCATCCCACATTAAAATTTAATATTAAGTGGCTTATGTAACCTACTATGCAATGACAATTTCGACCTTTTGAGGTTTAAAGAAAATAAGAAATTTCTAAATACACCACAAATTACTTTTAACCCATTATTTATCTTCTTCAACTATCAAAACCCTTCTCACCCTTGACTCCATTGTTGAATAAAATTCTAACTATTGAAACTATAAACACGTTGATTGAGAAAAAAAATTAACTAATGGAACACGATATCAATATTTCGGAAGCTTCACATAAGGTAAAATTTCATATTTGTCATTGTTTTAATTATTCAACGACATCGGTAATTATTTAAGCCTACTTTTGCTTTCCATACTACCCAATTTCATAGGAGGCCAACCCAACAATGCCTTTTTCATTCTTATTCATCCTTTAGGGTTTACTTTGCTCTGTTAGGTTTGGCAGAAATCCTTTTTTGTTAGCAAAATGCTTAAGAGACAGGGAAAAGGAGATTGGCAGTGATGACTCAATTAATGAAACTAAAGTTCAATAGACCGGATTGTAGAATTCTCTTTTTAAAAGAATGTTAGGGTTTTAATCCTAAGTCAATTTAATTTATAAAAATTGAAAATGAGTATTATAAGATTTGAAGAATTTGAGATGTATAGAAAATGTGGGGTGTATGTGGAAAATATTAGGTGTATGAGAATGTGGAGTGTAAAGGTATTATGAGAAAGTATATAGGGTGTATTAAAATAATTTTTAATTGAAAAAACAAATGTGTAGTGTATTAAGTATGTGAGATATAATAAATAATATGTAGGATGTTAATAAAATAAGCCTAAAAAATCGCTTATAGAAAAGTAACGAAAAAGAAAAGGTGTTACCTCAATTTGACTTTTTAATAAAATTGTCAACGTATTTCTAACAAAATCACTTGTGAGAAACGAGTTTTCTACGTGCTCATTTGGAAGTGATTTTAAAATAATTGAAAGCTCATTTGGTTAAAGTGTGTATGAGTTTCAAAAGCACTTTTAAGTGCTTCCTTCAAGAAGCACGGATTATGTGTTTCTTTCAGAAAGCACTTAAAATATTTTTTCATAATTCACTTACATCTTCACTAAGAATTGATTCCAAAAACACTCATGAAAAACGCTTTCAGTCATTTTAAATCACTTCCTACCAAGCCCTACAACAATCCCGAACCAGTTCAATATCTTATATGCAAACTAGGGATCAAGAGCGAAATTTAGAGAAACGGCATAACTTAATTAACTGAGATGAACTCTCAGAAAAAATTTGGACAAATAAGCCAAGGGCAGAACCTAAACGATAAAATGTCTGCTCAAAACTGAGTAAAAAGTAAACATCCAAAACTAGAGGAAAAATCTATTGTATCTGCAAAACTTGTAGCTAATCTTCCGTATCGAAATCGTTTCCTCATCCTTTGCAAAGTTTCGGGACGCCGCATCAAAGGAGACACAATCGAAGGATCACAAAAAAGGAGAAAAAATGGATCTGCCCCACTATCATGAAGCTGCATACCGCTGATGGAGAACATACTTCACAACTTCGTAGAAGGAAACCACGATCCCAACAGAGGGGCCAGCGCGGGCAACGCGAGGGCCAACTCCTGTGAACAATCCCTTCAAACCTCCACCCCTGTACCAGAATAAATGTAAGTGTAATTCCTAGGAGAGATCGAAATGAATAATCGGAAAATTTATAGATTAGAGGGATACCTCCAAATCTCCATTAGTGTTTGCCGTGTTGTCATTTTCATTGCCCTGACTGGATCATTCTGATTTTTTATTCCAAAACAGATATAGATTAAGAGCAGGGTAAATATATAAAAAAGAAAGTATAAAAAATTTCCCCAGAAATGCAGTTTCAGTAGAATTGTTTATAAGCATCACATGTTCATCAAAAGAAGTTCCTGCTTATCAAGAGATCCATTCAGAACAGAGAAGCAAACTACCTCTATCTGCCTTCGGGTTTTTGCAACATCCAACGGACATGTAGCTGCAGCAGCAAGGCTTCCTGCAACAAAAGCAGCGGAAAAATTTGCCCCAAGAATATTGAGTGCGCTGGCTTCATCACCCACCAGACCAAGAAGTTTTCTCCTGAGCTGTTCAGACAGAAATAAGATTTTGTTAAAGCAAGTAAAGATACAAAAGAATAAGCCATCGGAAGAATGAATCCTTACTGGCTCAAGGGTTGCCCAACAGATTCCTGAGAAGGGAACATCACGAGCAAGCTGTGCTCCCATACCAGTCCACAGGATGCGAAAACCTTGCACTGATAAAAGAGAGACTATATCAAAAGCATCAACTATAAAAAAATAATAAGTGAAGCCAAAGCAGCAAACGTCAAAAAAAAAAAAACATAAGAAGTGATGTCTCATCGTCACTTATTTCACTTCAGGTCTTAATTTGTGTTCATGGACAAGTTAATGCAGGAGTGATTCCATTTAAACTAAAAAATTTGCTCCGTAATTCCCCCAAGTTATTTCATAAAATTTTAACCTCTACAAATTGAAGGGGGAAAAATCTTCTCTGCCAAATTTCTGAAAGTTCGAAAAAGAGAAGGATGAAAAAATGGATCTGAGGAATGCAGGAAAAAATGGTCTTACAGTTGCTCTGCACATGACTTGTCGTCTTGACATGAGAGACGACACCAAATAAAGTCTTCAAAACACCAGGAGGCTTCCCGCCATTTTGTATCACTTTGAATGCCTAATAAAAAAATTTTGATAAATTAAAATAAATTAAGGTACAAGAAGCCTCCACAAGTCGGCTCTGAAAGCCAGACCAAACTTTGCCAAAACAAATCTGAGAAAACATCTATAACATGAAAGTAGAACAAGATTAAGCTTAATATGAAGTTCTAAACTTCCAAGTTACCTGCATGCGAGTTCTAGCAAGTTCAATAGGATAGCAAGTTGCACAAGCTAATGAGCGAGCCAAAGAGCCGGCAACTAGCGGGACATAAGCTGTCACGCTTGGTGCATTATGGGCAGTGAATTCCTCTAACCGGTTGCGAAACACATCATAGCATGGTAGATAAATTCCCACCTGATTAACAAAAAGGCAAGTCACATAAACGAAAGATTAATGGCATGCCCAAGAGGAAACCCAACTAAGACCTGATAACGTTAAAAACTTACTGTTGGAACAGCGAGGGCTAACCCTGCATTTGTGCCTCTCCATAACCTTGCAAATCCTTCCTGCAATTTCACTCTCCAAAGTCAAAATCACAGACAAGAACAGTAGAGAGATGAAGGTGACTACTTAGACAGGCATGGATAAGCACTATGCACACATATCATGATTTACAAACAGGAATTAACAAAGCAATATAATCACAAACAAATAAGCAGGTGCACATGTTTAACTACAGTTCTCTTTTCATGAACATTCGACATCACTAATACATCTAAAACAACGCCGCAAAACCCACCCACCTGTCTAATGATTTTGTAGAAGACATCCAATGTGCCTTTGTACTGAAAACAATCTGGAGGACATATTGAAACAGTGCCTTGAATTCCAGCTCGAGTGCATGTTGGTGAACACCTTAGATCCGCAAACATCTGAGCACACAAAAAATAAACTAACAAAAGTGAAAAAAGGAGAACAACATTATTTCTGCTAAATCAACAGAAAATAAAAGGGGGAAAAAAAGAGAAGAAAAATCCAAGAGGCTGCACTGAAACCGTCAAACAGAAATATTACATATCCCAGCCTCTCGGGTAATTTCAATAACCTAGGGAAAATACTAACATGTAACTCCTCATACTCACAATACCACATAACATTAAATATGTCAGCTAATTGAAAGATTATAAGGTTTCATGCCGAGACACCTATGCGACATATGTAAACCATTTCATTTCGGATTATAGTTACACCACCATAACAACAGAAGCAAACAGAATAAGGGTTACGAATCTAAATTTAGGACATAGAAGTAAGGCGTTCATACCATGCTTGGCCCGAAATATGCCATCCGACTAATGACATTACTTAGTGGATGCGAGTAAGGAACCCCAGCTGCCTGAGCTTGCAACCTCGTCTGCAACAGCATATAAAAACAACAACATTTGCTCAGTCCATGTTTCCAAATCACTAAAACAACCAAAATTTTGATCATAGTCTTTCGTAAAATTTTAAAACTTGGAGCTAACGGAAGACTTGGCGAGCCAACCCCACTTAGTGGGGTAAAGTTTTGATTGTTGTTGTTGTGTTTTTAAAACCCCATATACCAAAAATACCCAAAATTCAACATTTCAGTTCTTCCCCTGCTACTAAATTGTAATGAATCCTAAAATAAATAAATTTAAAATCAAATGCAATGAATGTCGGTTTCGTTTTACACGTTTTCTCACTTTCTCGGAAACCAAACAGACTACAAAAACAAATCAAAGGGCATACCTTTACAACATCAAGCGGATTAACAATAATCGCCGATAAAAACGCAGCCCCCGCCGCCGAGAAAGCTCGCTCGGCAACTCCCAATTGCCAGTCCGAGGTTCTGGGAAGCTGCGCGGCAGAGAACTCAGCCCCATCTCTAACCGTAGCGGTTGATTCCGGGCCCGACAAATCTACACCGTCAATCCCAACCGAGTGCGTTTGCTCCATGCTCATCCATGGATTCTGGGCTCGCTCCAACTCCACCATCTTATTCGCCGCGCCCTCTCTGATCAGTATTGACCCAACAAAATTGAATTATTTTTGTTTTTAAATGAGAAATAGGAAATAAGAGAGAGAGAGAGAGAGAGAGAGAGAGAGAGAGAGAGAGAGAGAAAGAGAGAGAGCAGTAAACAAAAGGCTCACCAGAAAGTAAGGCGCGCAAGAGGAGGGAGGGAGGCGAGGAGAGAGAGAGAGAGAGGGACAGAGGGAGAAGAAGCGTATCAGCGGCGTGGAGTTTGTAAAGGCCACATTTGGCAGCGTTTGTGAGAGC